TTCTTTGCAGGTTAGTCTAAGCTGCATAGACTGAACCAAAAAGGAAGTGAACAGACATTCACTTTTGATTCCAGAAATGTAGCCATGTGTCTGCAGTGGCCCAGGCCAGAAGCTGGGGGGCGCTAGAGCACACCTCCTTGCTTAGCTGGAGCAGACAGCTTGGGCCAAAGCTAGCCCACCCACCCTCCAAAGGGAGTTTTGCTGGGGCGGTGCAAAGCATCCTGGGATGCTCAGGGACTGAGAGTCAGTTTGAACATGGAGGGGATCTGGGACAGAAGCTGAATAAACCAATTTAACCTAAATCAGTTAAGTCTGATAGTACATCCATCCAGGTTTATCTTATACTGGTTTCAGCCATTTTGAAAGTGATTTACGTGCACCGAACTTCTGTTGTGTTGCAGATTTGAACCAGTTTCTGATCACTTATACCAGTTTGCGTGTAATTTCTGTCCCTAGCCCTAATGGTTAGACAGCATAGAAAGGCTCAAGTCTGCTGCTGTTTCCAAAGCAGCAGATTTAATATTTTGACTCAAGCAACAGCAGCTCATGCACTGCACAGACGGAGCCCTTCTCACAGCACAGCAATGATGCCTAATGCAGACACTCCACGTGTCAACATTAGATGAGAAGACTCAGCACCATAACTGTTTGGGGATAATTTATTCAACTCCTTTTGTTGGAGCCTTTCAGAGGGTGTCACATTTTCCAGATTTTCTTTGCATCAAGAGGGCCAGAAATGTACTGCTCTCAGATGGACATTGGGAGTGCAGTGTAGTTCCCCAACTCCAGGAGCTGTGGTGCAAGAAACACCAAATACTATTGCGGTTCATAACTCTGGCATCATTTCAAAAGCTGCAGCATGATTCCTATTCAGGCAGCTCTTGGCCCTGTGTGTTGTTGCTAGTGAAGCCAGGTTCAGGGGAGCTGCCCAGACAGGGAAGGCCTCTCTTCTTCCTTGGCTAATTGGTCCCAAGGGGATCAAGACCTCAGCCTGTACCCAGGCTTACTTATGCCCATGTCAGAGACAGGAGACTGAGAGTAAAAACATCTCTTTGGATCTGGTAGTTTCATGCCCTGGTATAAATGATGCCAAAGGAGCAAGGCAAGGAGAGCAGACCACAGGATGCCGATCAGTCCTGCTTGCCCCATCTGCCAACTGATGCCCCCCTTTGTGGGTAGTAAGTTGTGCATCTCTCCTGGGCTCTTCTTGAGAGCCTTGGTACCAGTTAAATCAGAAAACATTACCAAGAACTCCCTCTGCAAGCACGCCCAGCCGCCTCCCTTCAGCATCCAATATGCCCAGCTCACAAGGTTACTATGGCCGGCCTTGCTGTTGCAAGCAGTGCCAGCTCTCCCATTTACCAGCCAAAGGATGTCCGTTTCACTGTGCCAACCTGACTCCCCAGTGGAGGTCCCAACTGACCTGGTGATTTCACCTCCTGTTCTAAGGAGCTGTTCAGTCTTGAAGTAGCAGAACTAGGGGTGGGTGAATGGTGCATTAGCCCTGGGAACCAATTTAGAGGGCGTGCCAGAATGATCCCGCCCCCCCCTGGAGCACACACCATGGCAGTTGCAGAGTTTTCACGGTGGGCACAGCACCCCCCACCAGTACACTGAGTGCCAAAAATGCTAATGATGCCTCTACAGTCATACATGCCTTACATTTGACCCAAGAAGGGCTTGTCTTCCAGCGCTGGGTGACACCTGACAGAGAATATTGCTCTTCTGAAGCAGGAGGAACAGCACAACCACAAGATGACTAACGCAGCCCACCAAGGAGACTAGCGTTTGCTCCCCGTTCAGCTAGCCACTTCCTCTCAAGTGCAAACACCACTCAGTCATTGTTAGTGTGTGAATGCTGTTAACGTGTGAACTAGATCAGGCTGGGGTGTCAACAGCTAACAGTCAACTCTCCTAAGACAAAGATGGACACTGTGTGCATCATAAGCTCTCACCCAAGACGAACATCACTCACCTTTCCAGCCAGGGAAATGCAAGTCCCTTCCCTTCAGAAAATTCAAAGCACAAATTGATAGGAGGCAAGTGTGATGCTGCACAAGCCTTTCTAGTCTCACAGCTGGAGCTGCGCAGGCCGAGGCTCCAAGAGTTGCTCTCCATTGGGCAGAGAGCCTGTTGGCAACTTTACAGCCGCAGAAATTTGGACCTATGCACCAATGACAGACTCCAGACCTCACCCATGACCATCCTGGCAGGAACCCTGCCCAGGTGACCTCTGCTGACAGAGGCCTTAAAGTGCTAATGTAAAACCAACCAAAGTCACCCTAACTAGTTCCCCAGGTCCCTGCAGTCAGGTCCTGAGAGAATATTAGTTCCTCCCTAGGGAGGGAGTGCCACCACATCATCTACTCAGAAACTTGGGAGCACCACTGTAGCTATATACCAGGTGGAAGGGGCCTGGGGGCATCACTACAGCCATCAGCCAGGAGAGGGGACTTAGGACCAGAGCTGCAGCCATCAGCAAGGGAAGTTCTGGTGTTCCTTCCAGAGCTGACCCCAACACTCAAGTCCTGCCTTCAGATCCTTTGGCCCCTGGTGTCAGTGGTGTTCAGGGCAGGGTTTGCAAGGGGGCACCTGAGGACCCTGTCAGAGGCTGCTGCAGAGTGAGAGCAGAGTCCTGAGTCTAAGAGCATGTCTGCATTAGTGCGACTGTCCTGTGACAGTGCACTTGTGGCAGCTTCACCTAGGCGGGAGGGACAGCACCAGCAGTGAGGATGCAGCAGCCCAAGCTATAGTGTGTGCTGGGACCTGTGTGCAAACCTCCAAGGACCATGGGCACATGCTGGCCACTAGAGATTGTGGCAAAACCACCACCCCTTCACCGGTACTGTTGCCCCTGAGGCTAGATGTAGCTACCATGGTCCCACTTTCCTTTCCTCTAAAATCACATCAGCCACCTTTGTAATCTAAACCCGTTAGGAAGGTGGGGAGTAGGAACCGGCACTTTTCTGGGTGAGCAGGCAGCCTGGGCACCATCACAGACAACCCGAGGCAAGGCAAGTACCAGTGCTGCAGGTGCTCCTCGTCCAGGCCACCAAGCACTGCGCAGGCATACCCCATAACAGGAGAACGCCCACCCAGCTCTTGTCATATTGAATGTAATAGTTTGAATGTTTATAATAGTTGCCCATTAGCCAGTTTAGAAAAAGACAAGATTTATCTTCTTATCTAGGCCATTGTTTTGGCCTACGTGCGGAAGGTTCAGGCTTTGCTCAAAGTCTTAACTCTTGAATTTTATCTTTAGAGGCCTTTAACAAAGTTAACATAAAAACGACCCTTAAGCAAACATCCCACATTCCGAGAAATCAAACCCTAGGAGCCTTTGAAAAGACTGGGAAAAAAGGTCACTGCAGCGGTGTGGAAATTCCCCAAAGAAATTGAACTCAGCAGAAATCTGTTAAGGAAGATCCGAGCCCAAATTTGGGAGTAGTGACAGGTTTGGGTAGGAGGGACCCAAGACGACAACTCACTCAATAAAAACTGTAACCTACTGACCTAATTTGGAGGTAACCTCACTTGCAGAACAACGAAGGAAGAATCGCAAGTGTAGGCCGGATCAGACTGATCACCTGAACCACCCTCTCCGTGAACACGAATCTCTTAGTTCACGCTGACGCCGCAGAGCGCCCGAAAGAGACTGAAGGAAGGGGACTTAGTCCTATCAGTATTGAAGCCAGCCCATTGAATCTTATTGCTGAGGCCAGCCCATTGAACCATACTACTGAGGCCAACCCATTAAATTGTACTACTGAGGAATGAAACCATATTTAGGTGTTTGGCTTCTCGGAATTCTAGGACTGTAAGTATATTATGAAAAATAATAGTACTGATTCAAATTTAACTTTATTTGTAATTGTTTTAAGGAAGTGCATTTGGAGCATTGTTTCTGATATATGTAGTTATTGTGTTAATGTTTGTGGTATTTCTTAAAGCTAAGCAGTGTTATATGTGTAGCAAAGAATTTTAAAATAAAATTGTGTTGTATGAATTAAGTATGCAATCATTGTGAAATCGTGCAAGTAGCTAAAAATTTTCCCAGCCAGTGCATCAAACGAATCAGTAAGTTGTGTGGGATCTTCTCTATTCCATAACCCACTAGAGACAGCTCTGAGCAAAATGCCACCAGGGCCCCGGAGCCCACCAGCCCCTCTTCACATCACATTAACCACAGCAGCTCCCCACCGACCCACGCAATGCTGTACACTGGATCTGCCCAGCCCACAGGCCCCTGTACCCAGCCCTCCTCTGCCACTGCCCCAGGACTTCGTGGTTTCTCACATTGCTTCACAGCTCTTCTCATGTGATAGGATGTCACAACTGAAGCGTAGGCAAAATAGCACTATGCTACTTGTGCTTGATCTTCTCACCAGCCCCCTCATGTTTCAAGAAGGCTGTGGTCCCAACAAAATACCGCCCCTGGCAAGAGCCAGCTGGGAGCAAGATGACTCGCCACTCATCATGGCTTGGGCCACAAGCCAATGCCTCCAAGCGCTTTCAAGCAAATGAAAGGCAAAAGCTCCCTCTAGCGGGCAAACAGGGATTCAGCTGCGTGTAAGCATCTAAACAGACCGCTGTTTCAACACAACAAACCGAATTAGTTTTTTGGCAACTTAGAGAGATTGGAGCCACCCTGTGATAACCTCTGAACCTCACATGTAGGCCTAGCGAGTGGGATGTGGACTGTATTGGTTTAGTTTAATAGGAGCTCTAGACAGCCACCTTAGCAAGCACGAGATGCACAGGGGCAATGCCAGGACTACTAGGCTTAATTACTTGGATCCTGTGTATTCTACAGGACATGCATCCAATTGTTGCAGAAGTATCAGCTGTGACCCTCTCTGGAGAGAGATACCGAACCCCCCACAGCCAAGCAGTACTCCACACGTCTCTGTGCCTGTGCAGGGAGCCCCAGGCATGGCCTGCAGTGCCTTGCCCTAAGCCACCGATGTTCACCTCCTGGCTTGCACATCTGCCCCACCTACCTTTTCCTTTCACTCTCGCATGGCTGATCTTCCTCCGTCTCATCACATGCTGCCCCCTCTGCTTCCTCAGTGAGGATCGGACAGTAGAAACAGCGACACGAGGGGACAATTCATGCTCTGGCTCCACACTGCAGAGACCCAGATCCATCCCTGCTGGAGAAAACACAGCATGGCTGAGAATGGCCTCATTCAGCCCCTGGCACAGAAGGGGAACTGGTGCACATTCGGGATGAGCAGCTCCAGCTTCCCCATAATGCTCCTTTGTCAGATGCCTACCAGAGCCCCTCATACTCTCTGGGGACTGAGCTGAGCCCCCCTCCCCAAAAGCACCCGGGTGTGGGAGTTTCCAGGAAATGCTGTTGTCCTGCGGCCATCAGCTGAGGGGTTGGGAAGATCAGCTCCCCACAAAACCTGGCCTGCAGTCCAGAGGGCAGCACGCTGTTAATCACAGCAACAAGCCAACCTCTGAGCTGTCCATGGACTTAAACTAGGTGCAAGCACTTTTAATGCTGGTCAGGAAACGCCTTGTACCTTCCATGGTAAATTAAGCACAGCTGCAACATAAACCCAGCCTAGTTCCAATCTGGACACCAGAGCAGAAAGCTTTACCATCCACAATAGGAAGGGGAGTTTCACTAGGACCCCACGTTCATTCAGAGAATCATAGAAAATTAGGGTTGGAAGGGACCTCAGGAGGTTATCTAGCCCAACCCTCTGCACAAAGCAGGACCATTCAGACCTGTCCTTTGACAACACAGAGACGGGCCAACACTGAGCACTTCCTAAAGGCCCACCTTAAAACTGCAACCATTATCAGTGTCAGTCTGTCACACAGAGTATGCAGGACCAAGTGTAGCCTTGCCTGGCACACAAGCAATGCTCTGGGGAAGGCCCCTTCAAGAGAGCTAGAGACGATACATTGGAATACCGTGATGGATAAAGGCATTTATCCTTTATAACTCTGCCAGAAACAGTTTCAAAGGCCGTTCTGTTTTGTAGTGGCTGGTTAGAATTGTTTAATCTCCAACCATGAGCCTGTGGGATTAGCATGATCAGTAAAAGCAGCACCACAGACTTCAAGCAAGTTGACTGACTGTCCTGCTTGCTATCAATAGGTCTGTGGAGAAGCATGGGCTTTGTACAAGGGAGTAAGATCTTGGGGCAGCTATGCATGAGTGTGGAGGCTGCTCCGACACGCCGGAATTCCAGCACGTCAGAGCAGATTCGTTAATTGAGTCTGCTGGAGCGTGGCAGTTACTGTTCACCAGCAACCTCCTGTGTCTTGTGTATCAGCATGCCCACAATTAAAAATGGCATTGGGGGCACTTGAACTACAGCTTGTCGAACACGTTTTAGTTCAAGAGCTCCTGCTACCATTTTTAAGCGTGGGGATGCTAATACAGGCGATGCCGCAGAGCTTGAGTGGCTCAGTGCCCTTGGTGCCCAGGTTTAACTCCATATAACCTGCTTTCCTGTCCCCACCTGCTGGCCAGAAGTATAATACAGCACCTGGGCAGGTTAGAAGCTACCGAGAAAGGAAACTGCACTACTAGAGAAGAAATCAAACCTTAATGGACCTTTTCTAAATGTCCCCTTTCTCCCACCCCAAACACACACAGATGTGTGCACACACAAACTTGACAGTGACCCAGCGACAAAGATACTACATGAATATATCCTAACCCCAAATCCTGCAGAAGATCATACACTTCTTCACCCCACCATTAGCCTGTACGGGAGAGAAGTAGCTGAGAAGTTAAGCTACAAAGCCCCCAGCTTACACTTGTTCCAGCAGTCACAAGGGCGTCTATTTTAAGCTTTCTTTTCTCATCTCTAGACAGTTACTCTGCTGTGTTCCACATTGCATTAGCCTGGAGTAACAACTACATTTAGAGCAATATCCTAAAATGTCATCAGATGGAAAAACTCCTGGCTTAGCCCATCACAACGCTTTGTGACACAGTGACAAGGACATCTGTGAAACTCAGTCAGTACGTGCTTTTTATTTGTGCAATTTAACCTTCAATGACTGAAACCAGTGAACCAATTGCAAGAGAAAAGGAGAGCAACAGTCGGGATCCCTTTTCACAAAGTTATTCCACCACAGAACAAAACCAACAACAAAAAGATACTACTTGAAATGAAGAGCTCTTGTACTGAGCTCCGCCTCCGCAAGAGAAGGTTGAGAGGCGACCTTGTGGCTGCCTATAAGTTCATCATGGGGGCACAGAAGGGAATTGGTGAGTATTTATTCACCAAGGCATCCCCTAGAGTTACAAGAAATAATAGCCACAAGCTAGCAGAGAGCAGATTTAGACTGGACATTAGGAAGAACTTCTTCACAGTTAGAGTGGCCAAGGTCTGGAACGGGCTCCTACTCTGGGGGTCTTCAAGAGGAGGTTAGATAAGCATCTAGCTGGGGTCGTCTAGACCCAGCCCTCTTTCCTGCCTATGCAGGGGGTCGGACTCGATGATCTATTGAGGTCCCTTCCGGCCCTAGCATCTATGAATCTATAAGCAGTTTCCACAAGAGAGCTGGTCACTCTGCTCGCTATGTGGGTAAACAAGATCCATTCAAAACACATCCTAACACATTCAGTTTAGTTGTAAGCAAGATTTTGTTTCCAGTATTTCCCTGATATTTAATGCCCTATGTCAGGGGTGGCCAACCTGCGCCACACATGCCAGAAGTGGCACGGGCAGCCTCTGGGTGTGGCACAGGCAGAGGACAGGGACCACAGTGGTGCATAGGGCAAGGAACAGAAAGCAGAGCAGCAGAGCAGCCAGGGGAAGGGGATCAGAGTGGCACAAGGGGACAGGATAAGACTAAATTGTGGCACGCTTGGCAAAAAGGTTTTCCTCCCAATCTGTTTCTGGGCAACACAGATCTGCACATGCTCTCAGAGGTACTGTCACAACACAGATGTCCCCATCTCACATATTGGCATAGTCCTAGGAAAAGAAGCCCTCCTTGGGGCAAGCAGTTTCTGGAAAACAACGCAGCAGGGTCTGCTATTCTTCATGGAGTCAGTTAGCTTGAAGGCAGCTCAGGGATGTCTGCACGGCGCTTGAGACAGCTGCCTCTCCTGCCATTCACCCCAGCAAAGACAGGCTCATATCAGTTGCACACAATCTGATGAGGTTCACAAAAGCTTATGCTCTATACATATCTTATTTAATTATTCTATAAAAGTGTATATCTACCCTGCCTTCTGACTGGCTTCAGACTAACATGGCTAACTACCTCTCTCTACTTCTACCAGTTAGACATAGCAGATCCAAGTGGTTGCAAATACTGAGGGGTGTAAAACTAGAGGGTGATCTGAGGACATGTTTGCAAACAGCACTCACCCAGTATCTCGGGAATGGTGGGCAGGTCACTTAGCGCTGTGCTGCCAGAGCTCCACCTCTCAAATGGATGTAGAAATATCAGCTAGCTCACAGGGCTGGACCTGCATTGCCAGCCTTGTTCATAGAGGACTTTGGAAATAGAAAGAATTAATAGCTCAATAAATCCCAGAGAACCGAGGGGGTAATGCCGAGAGGGACAGGGCCAGGACAGATATTCAAAGGCAAGTGGCCAACAACCCAGCCAGGACCTGCTGGCACCCAAGATTACCAACCGGTCCAAACCCACCCCCATCCCACTGCCCTCTCTGACCAGGGGGTCCGCAACTGAGCAACGCTCCATGGCAGCAGCCAGGAAGGGACATCTGCCATCTACTACAGCAGCCCATCCCTCAGGCCACTGGCTACTTTCACTAGAACAGGGTTGGGCTCTCTCTCAGCCGAACCCTGGCTGCATTTACACAGGCTAACCCTAGAAATGGGTTTTCTGCTTGAAATGCTTGCTTGCATTTCAGAAAAAAGAGCAGAGGAGATGCCAAGTGACCAACCAAGGGAAAGGAGGACACCCCCTGGTCATCTCATTTATAGAGTCCGAACGGACAGCTATTGTGCTGCAGCTTTAAATCACGGCCCCTGTGGGAGCGGGGAAAAGGAGACAAATAAAGACACTGACACATTATTCTCCCAAGGCCTCCGAACAAAGAGCTGGGCTCTGTTTGGTCTGGATGCCCTCCCGCTGTGCTCAGCCTTCAACTTGGAAAGCTGCAGGGGCCTGTGGGGAGGAGCATGGAAAAGCATCCAGCAAAGACCTTCGGTTATTTTAATTGCTGCCAGTTATTTATAGCCCACGAGTGCTCTGAGGAGCATTCAGTGCTGTGGTCGATGCTAAGAAAGGAAGCATCCAGTACTAAAACAGGCCCCGATCCTCTGAGCTGGGGGCGGGGAGACACTCTGCATACCATCCCCTCACAGGAAGGGCAGAAAACCCCAGGCTGGTGCAAAACAGCAGGAGATGGACAGCCCCAGGAACAGCGAGGCAAGACTCAGCCAAGCAGACGGCCCAGGACCCCTGCACTGTTGGAGAGCCACTTTCCTGCTGGTGGAGAGCGACTCTGCTCCATTCCCCAGCCAGGCTAAGCTGCTGCCCTCCCTCCCTCCCTCCCATGACAAATAACCACATCACCCTGAGAATCTAGAGCCAGCCGCCCAAACCGGGCACTGAACAAGCAAGAGCTGGCAGGAGAGAAGCGACTGGCCACACCCCGGGGTCAGAGCAACTGCTCTGGCGTCCGTGGCATCGCACCAAAAATGAACATGGCCTGCTCTGTCTTGGGCGCCGCAGCAATTAATCTGGATGTCCTCCTGCTGTCTCCAGCTTAGAGACAGGAGCTCTGGGTGGAGTGGGGAGGGAGACCCTGACAAAGGCATTATTTATTCTTTAATTGCTGCTTGTTTATTTAGAAAGCCAGCCGCCTCTGGAGAGCAGGCAGTAATTAAAATGCAGCAAGTAAACAATCAATGCTAACTAGTTTCCATGGGCAGAAACAGACCACAGGAGGACACCTGGGTTCTTCTTGCTTTTAAAGAAACACGATCAGTTTAAGTAAAACCTCTCATCTTCACTGTTACATAGCTGCCAAGCAGCTCCAACTGCAAAAATGCCCACTTGCTTAGAGCAGGTTGGCCTTGCGTGCAGTCGGGCCACAGGCAGGTTAATCCAGAAACTTGCTTGGGTGACAACCTGCTGCTAGCAGCTCCACCCAAGGACAATTCAGGCAAGAGATTTCAGGCCACGTGCAGCAGCTAGAGCAGGGGTGGGCAAAATGCGGCCCACGGGCCAGATGCGGCCCGCCAGGCCATTCTATCTGGCCTGCGGGGCCCCTAAATCTAAATTTTCTAAATTTTTTATCTGCCCCTGGCTGCCGGTCATGCGGCCCTTGATGGCTTGCCAAAACTCAGTAAGCGGCCCTCCGCCCAAAATAATTGCCCACCCCTGAGCCAGAGTAACAGCACGCAGGCTGAGTCTGAAAGAAACTTCCACAGGACAAGCAGGGAGATCTCAGAGGGTGATGATGAGCGAGTGCATGTCATCCCCTCAGGATCATTCCTGCACAGTCCCTCAAGGCTCTGTCTGGTCACCCATCCTATTCAATATGTATGAGGCCACTCGGTGAGATGATGGGGAGATTTCGAGTGAGGTGCCATCAGTATGCTAATGACATCCAGCTCCACCTCTCCTCTTTTTCTGACCCTGGCCCCACAGCCTCAGTCCTTTCTAGATCCAGACAACACAGAGGTGATGGTGGGGGGCAGACCACAGGACTTGAGGGGGACTGGGGCACCTATCATTGATGGGGTTCAGTCTACCACCACTCAGGTTTGCAGCCTTGGGGTGCTCCTGGAGCTTCAGGTGGCAGCAGCAGCTAGGAGCCTCTTCTCACCAACTCCATCTGGTGAGAAGGCTGTGACCCTTTCTTTCAGATTCAGATCTGGACACTGTCATCCATGCCCTAGAAAACGGTCTGGAAGCTGCAGTTGATGCAGGATGACCCAGATTGGTTGCCAGGAGCACACAACTCCAACCTTCCAGCATCCGCACTGGCTCCCAATAGCTTTCTGGGTGCAATTCAACGTGCTGGTTTTAATCTATAAGGCCCTAAATGGTCTTTCCCCTATGTACCTACTGCCTTCTCCCTTGCAGCACGTTGTGATACTTAAGATCAGTCAAGAGCAACTTCCTGGAAGCACCATGAGTATACCAAGTCGACTTGGCAAAAACGTATGGCTGGTTATTCTCAGCTGTGGCTCCCAAGCTCTGGCACTCCCCCCCTCTTGAGGCATGCCCGAGCCTGAGCAACTTTGAGAAGCACTGTAAGATCTTGCTATTTGGGCAGGCTTTTAGCAAACAAAGCTAGGCTGAGTTATTGCTTAGTGGGTCTCTATACTGATATTCTAGTTCCCCTTTTCGCTGTTTTGTTCTCTTGCCCATCTCCTGTTCTACAAGTTACTCTGTTCTCTTAGTATAAGGCACCCTGAGTCTTTGTTGGGAAGGGTGCTATACAAATCACATAAGGGGCATTGGATCAGGAGATCTCCTGGGTCACTCAGCCTGCAGGGTCAGCATTTAACATTTTCCACAGCCAGCAACAAAAGTGTGCTTGAATCAAAGGGCTCAGGCCTCCACAGCCAGGTCTGTCAGAGCAGGGAACTGGGGTGCTGCGGCAGGATGTGCTTCATAGATGGCGCTGCAGCACTGGCAAAGGTGAAGTCCGCATCTTGGCTCTGCTGAGTAGAAGGATCCCTGCAAACCCTGAGGGTCTTTTGCACACTCAAACTGCATGTGGAAAATACCAGAAACCTGGGACCAGCCACCAAAAGCCCAAGATGTGAGGAGGAATACTGTAGACCAGTGAAGGAGGGAATTCAATAACTCCACTCTGTTTCACATGCACTGGGCCCCTGTTCCCAGCACGGCACCTTTCATCTCCAGCTCACCCACTCATGTCCAGCAAATACAACAGGAAGGAGCTGCCCATCACATAACCGTTTGCATCTCTTTGTTGGCATGTGCTCCCTCCTGTTTGCTCATATCTATATGCTGTCTTTTTGGACTTAAGTGGTAAGTTCATTAGCACCATCTCCTTGTTCCATTCAGTGCTGAGCACAGTGAAATCCTGGACTGTGATGGGTGCACCTGGAGTGGGATCCCCATGGACAAGGCATGTCCAGAGCCACAGTTACTGTGAAGCAGCCCTTCTTCTTCTTCTGCAACTTGTAGCTCAGTCAGCCTGGGTGGGCTGTCTCGGGGGCAGCACATGGCGCCTCTCAGACCTCAGAACACGCCCTTCCCAAATCCCAACAGCCTCTTGCAAACACTTGAAGCACAACACCTGCTTATGTAACTGCGGGGAAAAGAGCGCTGTACATAACCAAAACACCCTGCTCTATGCTGACCTGCTCCTCAGAGCTGTTTAAACCCCAGCTCTTTGGGGAAACCTTCCAAAACCCTTCAGCCCAAGGCAGTCCACAAATGCAGAATGCTTTAGCCCAGAAAGTTAAAGTTTGTCTAAGTTATAAACAACAGATTTTCAGAGCAGGGCATGCCTCAACCTCTGCAGTCTTGCTGTGGGCATCCCTTAGACCTCTGTTTGTTGCATGGATGGGCCCAGCACCTGCACTACTCTCAGACTGTTTCCTTCAACCACCTGTTTCTTACTATATAGCTTACCCTTTTGATCCAAATTAGGTTAGGACCTGTCAACGACCTTGCTTCTTTGGAAAGCAAAACAACCCTAAAAGATGATTAAAATCTTACTTCAGTGACCACCAGATCAACCTATTGGCTATAATGAGTTGAAACTGCCATAGATCATACCTCTGTCATCATCAGTGCAACCAGGTGTGTACAACAACACAGACTGACCTTCAAAACAAGACAGCATTTATTAGGTAAGTGAAACCAAGGGTGTAGGGCTCATTGGCTGGAACAGAAAAAACAAACCTCTACCCACATGCTTGGGCTCTCTCTTTACCGAATAATACCCAGGATTCATCTCCCTTTCCCCTGCCCTGACAACAGAGTTCGTGTAACACGTATGTTCATATGCTAGTCCTGTGCCTTGGGTTGCAGTTGCACTGCATTGACATGTTTTTTTCTTTCTTTCCAACTCATTAAAAGTTAGTGTCCAGATGCAGCTCCTAAACAAGTCTCGACAGCTCACTCATACCATCTCAGGAATGGTTATTGCCTATGTTACTCCTTCCCATCCCTCATCCAAGGAAAGCAATTCATTGCTTCCGACCTGGTAGACAACAACAGGAGGAGGAGGTAAACTGTGTCATATATATTTGGTTACAAGAAAATTACCCAAAAAATCCACATTCTCCGTTTTGGGATTTTACTAGGAAGCACCAGACAGCACCTCTGCTCCTCAAGCTTTATGAAATCAGCTGGGGGGTCCAAGCTGAGTTCCAACCTCATGAGATTCTTACCAGAGACATCAAAGCCTGGTGTTGAAATCCTGCCCCCAATTATTTAACAAGAGTTCTGCCACTGATTTCCATGAGACACTCTAGGCACAGATATTCAAAAAGGCTGAGGCAGACTCAACCTAAAGTTGCATGGTTTTCTGTAAGCGGCACGGTATATATATAGATCAGTAATGAACAGAACACACATTCGCCCTTTGGGGTGGCATGGGGGGCAAATCTTAGATTGGTTTCTACCATTTTTAAACCAGTCTAGGTGAGCCAAACGTACCTTCTGTTACAGGAACAGACCAGTTTTGTGTGTCAAATTTCTGTTCTGCTATGGGTTTCTGATCACTTATACTGGTAAAAGCGTAATGTCTGTGGCCAGGGATAGACATTTCCTCTGTACAGTACTAGTACTGTGAACTAAGAACTTTAGTGTCCAGAAATATGAATGAGACACCTTTCCAGACACCACATTCTCTTTGCTCTTCCTATCACATCCAGAATCAAGAGCCAGATCTACAGCTGAGGTCCCCCTACCCCACCACATGCTCTGCCTCCTGTGCCTGAAACACTGCTACGTTCACACCTGGCATCATCAGAACCGGTCCTTTTTCACATCTCAAGAAACCCCACTGGTTCAGCATCAGCTATCACTGGTGGACAAGCAAACAACATAAAGCAATGTGCTGTACCAGCTCTGGAAATGGGGGAGATGCAAAGCTCTGCAAATGGTGGCATTTTCTGTTCCATTTGGCTCCACCCAAAATATCTCAATTGATCCAAAATGACTTTCATCAGACCTGAAATGACATGTTTTATTTCACATGGGGCTTATTTAGCCCTTAAAAAGAATAATCTTGACTCCTAAACAAAAGCACTAATCCAAAATGACAACATACAGCATTGAAAAGACAGTTAGACTTTCCCAAGTCCCCTCCCTTTTATTTCCTGGCTGGAACAAATTCATGAATAATTTCAGTCCCCTCAAAACTGATTTTTTTCCAATACAAGAAAAATAAAACTGTCCAACACAATCCAGAGCCATGAAGTTATGTCAAGGAAGCAGGGGCTGTGTAGTCACTCTGCATGAGACCCGCTTCCCACAACCTCTGGGCACTGGAATGCATCGAGCAAAGGCAAAGCACTTAGCGAGACAAACTACCGCACACTCCAACGGACTCTGCAACATTTCCAGGGCACCGCTACAACCAACCCCATCAAACCTGTGTTATTGCTCTTCTCCTCTGGCGAGCCAGTGGCTCCCCTCAGTCAGTGCAATTTACACCCAAAGAGAATACAATATTTGCTTCACATGCCACCATCAGTATCCTGGAAACATCCCATTCTCAGGCAGAACCTCCTCGCTCAATTTTTTTTTATTGCAAAATTTTTTTTTAAGGAGAGAAAGAAAGGAACAATGAGACAGTCACAAAAGGGCACTGTCTCTTTAAAACAGCTTGCCCAGCAGTTTTTGAACAAGGGGGTCACAACTAGATTGGGCTTTTCCTAGCTGTGCCCTCAGCTCAGCCAAAAAAAAAAGAGAGAAAAAGAAATAACAGTTTAAGAATGAGTTGCTGAGGAACTCCTAGGAAACCAAAATCAAACCCCATAGACCCTGAGCACCCTCCACTCAGTGCACAGCAGCCTGGACAATCTGTTCAAAGGGATCTCCTGTTCAGTACCCAAAAGCTAAGGTACCCAGAATGAGCAGCCTTTTTCAGACACTCTGGCAGGATTGGGCCCATCAGGCTGAGCAGCATGAGATGCTGGCAAAAGTACCTGAAACAGCGATGTATCATGCCCAGTACTGCAACGGCCCAAGTATCTTCCAAGCCCACTTGACTGGAGACAGCCTCAGCACTCCCCAGGTCCTGAATACTGCTAATTTTTAAATAAACAGAGCTAACTGGGCACCTAGGGGTAATCATTAACCTATAATCCAAGCAGAAGCAATAAAGCAACAAACAAGCTCCATGCTATTAGCCCTTGCATCTGTTCCCTGGAAATATTCCATGCCCTTCCACCAAAACCTGGTTTCTCCTGACAGAAGGAAAACAGGAGAAGCCTAGCAAAGGTATTAAGGAGAGCAGCCCACACAGCTCTCACCCACCCGAACTTTAGTACCGACTGCCCAGTCCAAGTAGAGACATCTAATCAGAGCACTCATTACTTCACTCCTTGATCTCTCTAGCATGGCATCTCTTCCACAGGCCCCAGCCAGGAGGGTTACTCGTTAACACAGACCTCCATAAGGGGATGCAGGAGACGGAAAGGAAAACATTATTAAAGTATTCAGCACTGAAACTTTGCAATCACTTCTTGATTTACTTTCCATGAGCTTTTGACCCAGGCAGGATGGCAGAGGCAGTCAGCAGTCCTTGCTCATGTTCCTCTGCTGGAAGGGGAACAACTACTGAGGGGGAGGGATGCATGAACAAAGTCCTCTCTCCCCGACATGTTCCCAGGAGCAAGAGCAAGGTTGGTTCGTGTTCCCATTGTGGTGATCTAATCCCCCAGGGACTGAAATTCTTCTGCAGTTTATATTAACTTTTACAGCAAAGTACACTTCAGCCAATCAATCTTGGGGTTAATGAATTTCCTTCTAGGTTTAAGATTTGATATGGTTCACCTCCTACAGTCCCCAATCCCCCAGTGCTATGTAGATACTTGCTTTGGATATATGGGCTTGAATAACCAGACAAGTGTGTTGGGGCTAGCCTAGATTGCTTTGGCTACAAACAATATCCCTCTGTATTTACAGATCACCTGAGCAGGAAAACCTGGTTTTCCAAATCAGTGTTGAGGAGCAAGAGACAGTCTGAGCTATTCCTGTAAGCACTTCTTTCAGGACTGTTAAAATATAACACACCATTCCCAGTGCTGAGATAGGCGTCTCGCTGTCTCCTCCAGTGTATGAACAGGAGCAGATCACCCCAGAAGGCAGGGACTCCTCCTCACGCTTCCTTCCCAGCAGTATTGAGCTAATAGCCAACTGTAACTGAATTATTTACTGCATAAATGCTCTCCCAGCACACTGGTTTGAAGAAACTGAAAGGAGAGGACTAGCTAGCGCAGCAGGCTGCCTGAGCTCTAAATTGGTGACCTAAAACTAGCCCACATCAGTCATCTAGCCACCTCGAGCCATCCCCCTGGATGGGGGATTAACAGCTGCTATTGGTGTCAGTCAACTCCAACATCACAAAGGCCCCCTCAGTCACAACTGATGGGACTAGCCCTCTCACTGACTCTTGGCAAAAAAGGATGAAGAGTCCCAAGAGGACCTGCTCCCTTCTCATCCCAGCAACCGATCCCTCTGTACTAAACTGGAGGCAGGTGGAGGTGGAGGCACCTCAGTTGTCCTTGGGCTCTTGACCAAGGGCCAGAAAGGGAACACATGACTTTGCTTCCACTCTACAGTCACATATGCTGCATCTCACAGGAGAAAGCCTTAAACACAGAGGTGAAGGCATGTAGCATTTGAATAGCAACCCCCCAGACCAAATTCACCCCTGAACTCAGCAAGGGACTACCAAAGGATTGTTCTTGCTCCATCACCACCACGATACCATGTACCAGCAGCCCTGGGCAGTTTACAGCTGTGAGATGGCAGGTGAGCCTGGCCCCAAAAGCCATTCAGACTGATGCAGCCAGGATCAGCACTGTCCCATGTGCTAGGGCAGGCCCTGGTGTAGCCCCTTCACCCCTGGGGTGCAGTGAAGGTGCAGAGGAGGTGACCAACAACATACTAAGCACTGCCTCTCATCAGCTGCACTGGATGGGACTCTACCAGACCCTCGGACTTGACAGAAAATAGCTGCAATGGAGGGGCAGCATTACTGAGAAATGCCCCCCTTGGGGAAGTGTAGGGCACACCAAAGCTGGTACCAGGCACGATTCTGATCCAGCATGTCACTTAGAGCTGGGGCATGACCTGGGGGAGATGCTGGAGTCCCCCCTAACATGCCAGCAGCACAAAGCACATCCACCCACAACAGGGAGAAGGAGCTTTCTACATTTCTGATTAGGCAGCCACAGCAATCCTTTTCCCTAAGGAAATGAGCATTGACCCAGCACCACTGCCCCATCTCAGACCAGAGAATGGATGGCTCATCAGCCATTGTAAGGACCCCAAATCTGGGAGGCAACATGAACATCCCCAGCAGTATTCACACTGCTCCCAGTCTCAGACTGAATGCCAGCAGGATTCACCCAACTGATTCTTGCATCTTCTCCCCCATACAATCCCATCTGCAAAGTCGCCGTCCCCTGCATGCTGCTGACAGGATTTAAGCTGACTCTTATGCTACATTTGCAAATACTCAATGATTTGCTCCTGCACCTTAACCAAATGCACAAATATACTGTTTCCCCTTCTCCAACAAGTTAGATTCACTTCTAACTTCAAACCCAGCTGGTTCTGCCTTGGGACTTCCCACCAGGGATAGGACCTTCAGCACCCAGCTGCTACAACTCTGCTGCTGCTCCTTCCTTCTACCCTGGGAATTTGGGGTTTTACAACTCAAACACCTTAAACAAACCAAAAACCGGCAGCACGATCACAGACAAAGCCTACACTGGGCCATACAACAGCCACCCACTGTTTCCCTCCGAAACTACCAGGACCTGCAAAGTTAAATTCACTGGCAAAACATAGGGCTCACCTGCAAGCAGCAAAGTCCAGGCAGCTCTGAGCCTATTCAAACTTTCCTGAGCCTGTCTGGAGGGGGGATCTCCCAGTCTTAAAGGCACAGGACCCTTTTCCCAATCCACTGAGAAAGGATTGCTGTTTGCTGGATCCCTTCGGCTGAAGGCACCCAGTGGCCCCTTTGGAGTGGGGAGGGGACAACGAGGTGACACTGTCTGAGGGTGGAACAGCTGAATCCTGTCACTGTGTGGGGGTGGATCGTACAAGTTTGCCACCCGAGCAGAGGCTTTAGTGAGGCGTTGCCAGGGAGTGAAAAATCCTTGCCCAGTATGTGGTGCTAGGGAGTCCACACATACCCTCCTATATCCCCATCCCCTAGCAGATTGCTGAAGCACCTAGGCCAAATCAAGGTCTGCAAGAAAAGGCTCTTCCTGTGGAGTCTATCTGGGACACCGGTGCTAGGGCTAGGGATAGACATTACACACAAACCAGTTTAAGTGATCAGAAACTGGTTTAAACCTGTAACACAACAGAAGCTCAGTGCACATAAACCAGTTTCAAAATGGCTGAAACTGGTTGAAGATCAACCTGGTCGAATGTAGTATCAGACTTAACTGATTTGGGTCAAACCCCTTTCTGAAACTTCTGTCCCAGACCCTAGCGTCTAATGCTCAACGCCCTGGTACCCGGAGGTGAGCAGACAGGAGCCCGGCCCCAGGGTGGAGGGAAGAGGATGCATACGAGGACAGCATAGCACTGAGAGTGAAGAGAGGAGACATAGATCCCTGAACCAGGAGTAGACTTAGACATGGCAGTGCTGGCTACTGTATAAACCCCAGATTCTTCAGAAGATGCTGAGGCCAGAGAGTCTCCTGGATAAGAAGTAGCACAGTGGCTAGGGCAGCAACTTAAGCTAAGAGAGAGCCAAGTTCAAGTCCTTGCTCTGCCAGGTTGAAAGCAAGAACTTGAACCTTGGTCTCCGGCAGAGGAATGCAGCTGGTGCACGCACTTCCCCTTGTTCCCTGTCCTCCCTCCTTCCCACAAAAGAAGATAGAGGGGATCTGGTGGCCATCTATAAACTTGCCAGGGGAGGCCAGCAGGTTATGGGAGAGTCCCTGTTCCCCTGAGCACTACCGAGAGTAACAAGGAATAACGGCCATAAGTTGACTGAGAGTAGATTCAGGCTAGATATCAGGAGGCGCTACTTCACAGTCAGGGCGGCTAGGATCTGGAACCAACTTCCAAGGGAAGTGGTGCTCACTCCTACTCTGGGGGTCTTCAGAAGGAGGCTAGATAGACACCTAGCCAGGGTCGTTTGACCCCAGCATTCTTTCCTGCCCATGGCAGGGGGTCGGACTTGATGATCTGCTCAGGTCCCTTCCAACCCTACCTACTATGAAAGTCCTTTTCCTCAAGTGCAGGAAAGGCGCCGTGGGGACAGGAGCAGTCTGGCTTCAGAGGGGAGGGAAGCCTCATTGCTGGGGCCAAGTGGAAGATACCAGAGCCAGGAGATTCCCTCTTTGAAGTGCAGGATGGAGATGCCCCCTGAGGAGGTCACAGGATGTTGGCCACCTCAGGACTCAGACTTGGGGCTCCTGGTCTCCCCAGCTCCTCCCATCCCTTCCCTAACCACAACCCAGCAGCTCCCTGTGGAACAGACCCTGCTGCTGGCCTCACATCTCTCCCCCCACAGGGGCCTTACCTGCTAGAAGCAAGATCTGTGCCCACCTTCCTCTAAGGAAGGTGCTGCCTCAGGCCCATACCTCCCTCTTTGCACTGTTACATCACAATAACATATATTAAAAGACAGTAGGGCAGCACTTGAGGGCAAGGACTGTAACCTGGAGAGCAGTCATCCAGACAGGGGTGGACGTTATAAAGAAAATCAGCTCTCAGTGCCATTCTGTAGCTTGGAGGGTTACCCTGACCCTTGGATGCATGAGTTGGAAGGTATCACCAAGAATAGGGAGGTGTGTTACCAAGTGGGACCATGACTGGCACTGCAGCCAGTTCCAGTGCCTATATGTCAAAAGGGACCTTAAAAACTAGAAAACGTTCAGAAAAAAAGAGAACGGTCCAAAGTCTGGAAACCTGACAGCAAGAGACGAAAGACTCGATTTTTCTTAGTCAACTAACATAAGGATAAGAAGGGACTTCCCAGTCTATAAAGACCTGTATGGGGTAAGGTTTGTAACAGCAAAGGGCTCTTCAGTGCAGGAGACAGAAGGATGAAACCCACCGGTAGGAAGCTGAAGATGAACACATTCAGGCTAGCAGCTAGTGTGACCTTTTCACACTCCCTGAGTGAAGGTAGCTAAGGTTGGAGCTCACCAAGGAGGGATTTGCAATCTTTACATCAGGTCTAGACTTTCTTTCTAAAGAGATGTTTTAGCTTAGCCCAAAGGCAAGTGCTCAGTGCAAGACCCCCAGAGCTGCACATGTGGGAAATCAGTCTGGACAGTTAAAGCTGCACATGTAGAGAGAATTCAGGTCTTGAAAGGGGAATGTCTCTTCAAGCTGCCCATCCAGCTCCCTACCTTGTGTGCACACATGCTTACTCTGCATATGCAGTTGTTCCAAGGTACCCCTATGCTGGGGGAGCTGGGAAAGGAGGTGTTGGCAGGACTGCTTTGTAGCCCTGATTTCCACCTGGGGAAGGGGTAGTTGATGGCAGAACCTCCCTTTTTTCCCCTGAAGCAGAGGGAGAGCTGAAGGTATAGATTCTGCCTCTTTCCTCTCAGTCCCTCTGGAGAGGAGGGTAAACAGGCGAGGAACAGGCTGTCCAGGAAACAGCTGGAGACTCTCTCCCTTTCTCAGGTGCTTCTGCTTTATTTACTGGCATGAAGCCTTGAAGTCCCTTAGCCTGATACTGATAATTCCT